ACCCTATCGCCCTAGAGCCCTATAGCTCTATAGTCCTATAGCTCTGTAACCCTACAGCCCGATAGCCCTATAGCCGTATAGCCCAATAGCCCTATATCCGAATAGCCCTATAGCCCGATAGCCCTATAGCCCAGTAGCCCAATAGCCCTAGCCCTATAGCCCCACATCGTTATAGCCCCATAGCCCTGTAGCCCTAGAGCCCCATAGCTCTATATATGCGTATAGCCCTGTCGCCCAGTAGCCCCATAGCCCTATGTGCCTGTAGCCCTATAGCCCTATAGCCCTATATCCCTATATCCCTATAGCCCTATAGCCCTATGGTCCTATAGCCCTATAGCCCCATAGCCCTATATACTCATAGCCCGATGGCCCTATAGCCCTATAGCCCCAGTGCCCCATAGCCTCATAGCCCCATAGCCCTATAGCCCTACAGCCCTATGGCCCTATGGCAGCTATAGCCCTATAGACCTCTGGCCCTCTGGCCCTATGGCCCTATAGCTTCATAGCACTATAGCCCCATAGCCCCATCGCCCTATAGCCCAATAGCCCAATAGCCCCATAGCCCTATAGCCCTAACAAGACTTTGATTGGTTTTTCTCCGGTATCATATATTTCGGCGTCGCCCCAACATGCTAATAGTATGTGTGCGTCGCCCCACCAGGGGCGACTCGCGCACCGAGAAATCTTATAGCAGATGCGTCGGGGCAGGCGCTTTCTGGCCGTACCGCTCGGAAAACGATCTACTACAAGATGGTAATACTGTATGTTTGGGTCGGACGCACGCCTCCGACGAGGATACACAGTACCCATTGGTCGTTGAAAGTAGGTATTTCTGGATTCCCAGGTTCCAATCTACTTTAAGTGCCTGTCTACTTCAATGATCGAGTGGCTTCACGTTTTCCGTCTTCTTCACGGGGCGGGCGGACACCCCGTCTATTTCCAATGCCTCCCTACTTCCTTCTTCTGCCTGCTGCTTCCGACGGATGGGTACCGGCAGACCCCTCCAGACCAAAGACCAAGCTAGAGATGTTTATGCCGGGTGCTCGGGTCGGACGCACGACCCCCGGGGAGGACACACAATACCCCAGTAGGCCCCTCTGCGTGCTCGGCCAGTCGTTGTGGGCGTGCAGTGGCCAACCATTTTTTGTGCCCGCGCTCCTGCAGAGCCCAGGCCGCCCTCAAAATTTGGCTTTTTTTTCCACGCTGGTTGCTACGGCGTTTTTCTCAATCCTGCTGGCCGAGGTCACTCTGCGTCCCAGATATTCACCACCCACCAAACCACCCCAACCCAACCCGAAGGCTCAGATTTACCCTCGATTTCCAGTGGGGGGGGGGTCGGTAAACATCGAAAAAACGCATGTGGAACCCTTACCCCCCCAACCCGAAATTCGGGTCTTCGGGTTGGGTTGAGGTGGTCTGGTAGGTAGTCAGATATCGATCTTCGTGAGACTGGACGTGCCCCTTCGCCGCGGAGGTCCCTCCGCCGCGGCTGTGCCCCGCCGTCGCTCGACCACGTACGTCTTGGACCCCACGTCGCCGCCGACGGAGCAGAAGTGCCTCCCGACCATCCCGTGGTGTCGGGCCCTCGCTTTGACGAGGCAGCGCCCCACGTCCCTCCCACCGTCCTCCTCCTCCTCGCCCTCCTCCTCCCATCCCTTGCCTCTGCCCTCCTCCTCGCCCTCCTCCTCCTCCTCCTCCTCCTCCTCCAACCCTCCTCCTCCTCCTCGCCCTCCTCCTCCCATCCCTTGCCTCTGCCCTCCGTAATGTCTCTCTTTCGGCGCACCCCTCGTGGCCCAACGGGGAGTTCCACCGCAGGCCCTTGTGGCAAAGTTCGCATGGCGGCCCCGCCTTATTTTGCCGCACCCCTCACCCTCTTCGTGGCCCCATAGGGGGCTCCACCGAAGCGGTACCCATAATGCGGTACTCACAGGATACCGCCCCAGTCATCACCCCCGTTTTGGCGATGCATCGGCGATGTGGCGCGATCCTCAGGATTTCCTCATGACGTCGCCCCCCAAAGGTCTCGACCCATCCCCCGGGTGACCGGCTTTCCATCCTATGTCGTTCATTGAGGGTCCCGATGGCCTGTGAGGGCCTCCAGAGGCCGACAATAGCGAAAAGCCTCCCGTCCTTAGCTGCCTCGATATGACCGTTTTGATACGCAACACGTACCGTGCTCAAAACGTCCGTGTCGATACGCTGCGTGTTGGCTCAACGTATTTTCCCGCGCTCCGGCCGACGCCTCGCGTCAGACCTGCGCTTCCACTCTGCGTGGGGAGCTCCGTGTCCGCACGCGACGTGCCGCGGGTGTGCGCGTCGGGGCAGCTGAGCCCCCGTCGTGCTTTATCTCGTGACGCGAGGGGGGATCTGGGCTGGGCCCCTCGCGGGGATCACCCCCCCGCGGCGCGCGGGGGCCCGCGCCGCCCGCCGAGCGCAGGGCCCGGCCCGGCGCGCGCTGGCCCTGCGCCGCACCGTGGCGACGGCGTGCCTGGTGCTCCCGGAGGCGCGGCCCGGGCGGGCGCCTAATAGGGCCCGCCCCTCGCCTGCCCCCCTATGTCGGGGGACGAAGTCTATACATATCCACTGCTCCCTGGCCAGGCCCATACTGAACCCAGGAGCTGTGTATACGCCCTCCTGGCCAAACCAGGAGGGCGTGGCGTATACACAGCTGCTGTGTTCAGGATGGGCCTGGCCAGGGAGCAGTGGATATGTATAGACTTCGTCGCCCTATTATGTCGGGGGGCGGGCAGCAGGGGGGGTGTGACTATCCAGGCCTCCCAGAGGGGGCCGGATGGCGGCAGTGGGCCCGCGCAGCTGGGAGTCGTGTTGAATGGGCTTCGCACGCAGAGTCTTTCGCGCGATTCCTCGAAGGGTGATGCCGCGCTGTGCCGTTGTCCTGCCCCCTCGTGGGGCCTCTTCGGAGCCAGGACTTTTACCTTTACCTATCCTAGAGGGGGCCAGAGCAGACGGGTTCGGAGGATCGCGCCGCATCGCCGAGGCATCCCCGATGCGGCTCGATGTGGAGCCCGATTTTCTCTACGCCGACGTCGCCGATGCATCGCCGACGTCGCCAGTGCATCGCCGATGCATCGGCAATGCGGCGAGATCCTCCGACCCCATCTACTCGGACCCCATGTAGGAGGCCTCAAGACTAGGGGGGTGGTTATCATGGCGGGGGCCATCATATTTCCTTGGACTTCATGGCGCCTCTTCTTGTTTCGATGCGTCCCCGGTCCCCCCCTGGGCCGCGCACATGCCGTCAGTCATGCTTTGCGCCCCCCCTCTTGGACGCCCCCACCCTTGTCAGGAGGGAAAGAAACACACAGACACAATTAATCGTCGACTCCCAGGAAAATATGCAAAAATATGGGAAGTGGGGGGGAAGACACAAACCCAAGAAATATAGGAAACCATGGGGAATCTTTTTATTAGTGTGTATCTATTTGTGTGTCCCAGGGCCCCTCCAGTTGACCCTGACATCCTCTCGCCGTGAGGTTCTCTTCGCCGTGAGGGCTGTGAACGTTGGAGCAGCCAGTGGGTCCGAAGTGGCCCAGCATTATGTCGGGCGTGTCCCCCTACGGGGATTTTCGACGAAAAATAAAACATACCCTCAAAATACCCCCAAAAGGCCCCAAAACACTCAAAAAATAGTCCCAAGATTATTTTTTTGTTATTATTATTTTTGGGGTATTTTTGGTGTATTTTTTATTTTTCGTCGAAAATCCCTCTGTAGGGGGACAGGCCCGACTTAAAAGCCCAGCACTGGTTTCGGTCAGCAGGAAAGGGGGGCGCAGGTTCGTGGTGCTCGGTTCTGAGGTTTTTTGGGGCTTTTCGGTGTCGGTGGGCCGGTTTCGGGCTCCGGGGCGATCAAAACAGGATAGGATCCTGGGTGAAGAGCTGCACTAGATGAATCCCGATATAGGTGCGCGACAGATTTTTGCGGATTTGCGTTCATTCGACCGATTTTCCTTAGGTCCATTCAGTTCAGACCCCCTGGCCGCCTGGGGTCAGGAGGAAAAGAAACACACAGACACAATTAATCCTCGATTCCCCAGAAAATATGGGAAAATATGGGAAGTGGGGGGGAAGACAAAAACCCAGAAAATATGTGAAAATATAGGGAATATTTTTATTTGTGTGTATTTATTTGTGTGTCCTGGGGCCACTTCATGGGGCCCCTTCACCTTGGCCTCCCCCCCCGACCCGGAGGTCCTGGCGCTCCAGTTTTTCTTCTCCACGGGCGTCTCCGCCCGGTCATCGGGCCTCGGGGCCCTCACGGAGCGACCTTGCCCGGAGCAGGACGCAGAGGGACGGGGTCGTCGTCGTCGTCGTGTCTCGGGAGGCCTCGGTTTTTTCGCGAGGTCGGATCTCAGGGTCGGATGTTGCTTGCAGTGCCCCTGGCCCAGGGTGCCCCCCCACGGATAGCCCGAGGGGGGCCCCCACGGCCTCAATGCCAACGGGGGTCCATGCGAGCGGGGGTCCGTCAGAGCGCCGGATTTTGCAGGATCCCGCAGAGCCAGCGGTGCATTGACCCAGATTTGGGTGCAGGATCCTGCAGGGTCCTGCAGGGTCCTGCAGGATCCTGCAGTAGACCCGGGTCAGTAGATCCCCGAACCTCGGGTGTTTCTGGCAGTGCCGCCCCTGGTCCAGGCTGCCGTTCAGGATTTTTTCAAGGGGGCTCCCATGGTCTCCAGAGCACCCCTTACGGTTCAGGGGACCCCAGGTGCTCCCGGCTGCAGTCGTCGTGTCTCAGGATACTTCAGTTTTTTCGCGACGCCAGATCTCAGGGTCAGGTGTTCTCGCAGTGCCCCTGGCCCAAGGTGCCCCCCAGGAAGGGCCGAGGTCTGCCTCGAAACCGTCTTGGGACCTTGGCGGGGCCTCTGGGAGCCGTGCTGAAGGCCACCAAGGCTTCCTTCGGCCTACTTGGGCCATCTTGCGCCAGTTTGGAGGCCGCCCTGGGCTGTCTGGAGCCACCTTGGAGCCACTTCGGCATCTATGGCCATCTTGGACGCTCTAACAGGTCGCTGTCCCCTGTACATGCCCCTGGAGAGGCACTTTCCTCAACACTGCGTGGCGGCCTTCCTCGGTGGCGCACATCGTGACACGAGTGCGCCCGCGGTCCCGCCTCGGACTGGCCGACGAGGCAGGACAGCGCAGGCCTCCGACGGCGGCGCCCGACGGACCGTGTTGGCACACAGATGGCCTCCACAACGGCTCCTGGAGGCCCCAATCGGGCCTCCATGTGGTCAGTCTGCACTCTGGCTCAGGCTGTTCTGGCTCAAGACCTTGTTGGCCATGGTCGTCTGGGCCGCGGGGGCCGTGCGATGGCGGAGCCGCGCGGCGCGAATGCCACTTCGGGTGAAACCTGCAGTGTGCTCGGACGGCGCTACAGGCTGTGCGCGGTAGCGTTTGGAAAACCAGCACTTCTGTCGGTGTCGTGCGTCGCAGTGTCAGCCGTTGTCTTTATCCTGGACCAAATGTCCGTAAGAGCGAATATCGAGATGAAGGCGGAAGTGAATGCGGAGGTCGCACGGACAGTCAATGTTGCTCCAGCAACGGATGTCCGAATCCATATTTGGCTTTTAATTACGCGGCCAGATTATGAATCTGGACTTCGGCTGTATCATCCTGCCCTGGAAAGCTTCCAAGCTAGTTTTTCCGCTCTGGGAGCCAACGTGAGCGTTGTCGGCCGCGGTAGCATCAAGCACATCGAGGCACAGCTCGCATCCAGAGCATCACTCTCGGAATCGCACTGGATCGTAATATTCCCTCATCTCGGCGGCGCGCTTCGGGGGACACGCAGAGGGGGGGGGCGGGCCTCCCGAGGGCTCGGAAAGCCTCCAGCCTCCTGAGCAGATTCCTGAGCCTTCTCTCCGAAGCCGCAGGGGCTTCTTCAGAGCGCCGGAGGGCTGCTGAAAATGAGCGAAGGCCTGCCCTCTGTCGCTCCCCTCCCCCCCCCGCCCGAGCGCGCGGCCGACCGTCGGACGTTGAACACCAGTGCCTGCTGGCTCGGCCTGCAGCGCTGTCGCAGGCTCGGGGCGCGGCTCGTGGTGTACAACACCGAGCCAGGCTATCCCGGGCAGCCCCGAGCCGTTGCCAGGCTGGCCAGCCGCGTCGGCGCGGCGGAGATCTGGGAGTATCCAGCTGCCTGCGGCAGGTTCCGCCCTGGTGCCGGCCCGGCCCAGCATTCTGGGTGGCGACTGTTCGAGGGGGCGCGAGAGGCCGTCACGTGTGGCACCCTGTGTCTCCAGGGCTTGGAGAGCCGTGATGGGGATGATGCTCATGATGATGATGATGATGATGATGATGATGATGATGATGATGATGATGATGATGATGATGATGATGATGATGATGATGATGATGATGATGATGATGATGATGGTGATGGTGATGATGATGATGATGGTGATGGTGATGGTGATGGTGATGATGATGATGGTGATGGTGATGGTGATGATGATGCTGATGCTGATGCTGATGATGATGATGGTGATGATGATGCTGATGATGCTGCTGATGCTGCTGATGATGATGGCGATGACGACGACAACATGACGGTGAAGTTTTTTAGTGTTGAGAGGATGATGGTGATGATGATGATTTCCGATGATGATGCTGATGATGGAGATGATGATGGAGACGCTGGTCGTGATGATGGTGGTGATGATGATGATGGTGATGATGCTAGTGATGATGCTGATGCTGATGCTGATGACGATGACGATGACGATGATGGTGATGATGTTGTTGATGATGATGCTGCTGCTGATGCTGCTGATGCTGCTGATGATGATGGTAATGATGATGATGATGCTGATGCTGCTGCTGATGATGATGATGATGAAGATGATGATGATGATGATGATGATGATGATGATGATGATGATGATGATGATGATGATGATGTGATGATGATATGATGCGCTGATGATGCTGCTGCTGCTGCTGCTGCTGATGATGATGATGAGGAGGAGGAGGAGGAGGAGGAGGAGGAGGAGGAGGAGGAGGAGGAGGAGGAGGGGGAAGGCCGTCACATGTGAAATCTTTCGTCTTCTCTGTTTGAGGAGGTCTCATGGAACTCGTCTGGGCCGTTTTGGGGCCCTCATAGGCCGTCTTGGAGCTCTCTTGGGCCGTCGTGGGGCCCTGTCGGCCGCATGGTCGGTGCCTTGAGGCCGTCGTGGGCGGCAATGGGGCGTCGCAAGGCCTTCGAAGGCCATCTTGGGTCCCGCTGGAGGCCTCTTGAGCCGTTTTTGGGCCGTCTTGGATGCCTCTTGGGCCCTCGTGGGATCCTCTTGGGCCATCTTTGGACCCCCTTGGGGGACCTGTTGGGCCGCCTTGGGTCCATCGTGGAGGCTTTTTGGGCCGTCTTGAGCTGACGGAAGTCCGAAAGGGCGAACATCATTCACAAACCAAATGGCAATCATTGATTTGAAAGAGCGCGTTCTGTGGTCGCTTGGACGGGGGGGGGGTTGGAACCGGACCCCCCCCCCGTTGCATGGAAGGGGTGAGGGGTGGGTTTCGAACTCCCCCCCCCCTCCCGTGACGGAGGGCGGGGGGGTGTTCGAACCCCCCCTCCTCCCCTGCTTTTTCTCTCTCCCTCTCCTCGGGCCGGCGCCGGCGTCGGCGGCGGCTGGCGGCGGCGGCGGGGAGCGTCGATAAAGACGACGACTTCCTTTTCTGGGCCGCCGCTGGCGCCTGCGGCGGCTGGCGGCGGCGGCGGCGGGGAGCCTCGACGAGGACGACGGCGACGACAAATGACGACGACGACACCGCTCCGCTATCGTGCCTTGGTTTTGGATCAGAGTCCTAATGGATGCCTCTTGGGGCCTCGTCGGAGGGCTCTCGGGGGCCTCTGAAGGGCATTTGTGAAGTCTCCCGGGCGCCTCTTAGGCGTCTCTTGGGGCCTCTCTGAGGTGGTGGTGGTGGTGGGCTGTGGTGGTGGTGGTGGTGGTTGTGGTTGTGGCGGTGGTGGTGGTGGTGGTGGTGGTGGTGGTGGTGTGGTGGATTGCGGTGGTAGTGGTGGTTGTTGTCGTGATTGTGGTGGCAGGTTGTGGTGGTGGTGGTGGTGGCGGTCGTGGTGGTGGTGGTGGTGGTGGTGGTGCGGTGGTTTCTGGTGGTGGCGGTGGTGGTAGTGGTGGTGATTGTGGTGGGTCATGGTGGTGGTGGTGGCGGTGGTGGTGAGGTGGTTTGTCGTGGTGGTTGTGTTGGTGGTAGTGGTTGTGGTGGTGGTGGGTTGTGGTGGTGGTGGGTGGTGGTGGTGGTGGTTGTGGTGGTGGTGTGGTGGTTTGTTGTGGCGGTGGTGGTGGTGTGTGGTGGGGTGGTGGTGGTGGGTGGTGGTGGTGGTGGTGTGGTGGTTTGTGGTGGTGGTGGTGTGTTGTGGTTGTGGTGGTGGTAGTGGTTGTGGTTGTGGTGGTCTGGTTTGTTGTTGTGGTGGTGGTGGTTGTGGTGGTGGGTGGTGGTGGTGGTGTGGTGGTGGTGCTGCGGCTGTTGGTTGTGGTGTGGTGGTTTGAGGTGGTGGTGGTGGTGGCGGGTTGTGGTGGTGGTGGTGGTGGCGATGGTGGGTGGTGATGGTTGTGGTGTGGTGGTTTGTGGTGGTTTGTGGTGGTTTGTGGTGGTTTGTGGTGGTGGTGGTGGCGGTGGGTTGTGGAGGTGTTGCTGGTGGTGGTGGTGGTGGCGGTGGTCGTTGCGATGTGTTGGTTTGTGGTGGTGGTGGTTGTGGCAGTGGTGGTTGTTCTGTGGTGGTGGTGGTGGTAGTGGCGACGTGTGTTGTTGTTGTGGTGGCGGTGGTTGTGGTGGTTGTGGTGGTGGTGGTGGTGGAGGTGGTGGTGGTGGTGGTTGTGAGTTGTTGTGGTGGTGCTGGTGGTGGTTGTGATGTGGTGGTTGTGTGGTGGAGGTGGGTTGAGGTGGTGGTGGTGGTGGTGGTAGTGATGGTTGCGGTGGTGGTGGTGGCGTGGTGATTTGTGGTGGTCGTGGTGGGCTGTGGTGATGGTTGTGGTGTTGGTGGTGGTGGTGGTGCTGGTGGTGGTGGTGCTGGTGGTGGTGGTGGGTGGTGGGTGGTGGGTTGTGCTGGTGGTAGTGGTGGTGGCGGTTGTGGTGGTGGTGGTGGTGGTGGTGGTGGTGTGTTGGTTTGTGGTGGTGGTGGTGGTTGTGGTGGTGGTGGTGGCGGTGGTTTTGGTGGTGGTGGTCGTGGTGTGGTGGTTTGTGGTGGTGGTGGTAGTGGTGGTGGTGGTAGTGGTGGTGGTTGTGGTGAGTTGTGGTGGGTTGTGCTGGTGCTGGTGGTGTTGGCGTTTTTGGTGGTGGTGGGGGTGGTGGTGGTGGTGGTGGTGTAGTGGTTTGCGGTGATGGTGGTGGTTGTGGTGGTGGTGGGTTGTGGTCGTCGTTGTGGTGCTTGGTGGTGGCGGTGGTGGTGGTGGTGGTGTGGTGGTTTGTAGTGGTGGTGGTGGCGGGTTGGCCTTCGGGTCTTCCCGCCACCGTGTTTGGCTTTGGGTCAGTGTTCCAATGGATGCCTCCTGTGGTCTCGTCAGATGGGTCTCGGGGGCGTCTGGAGAGCATTTGTAAAGCCTCGTGGACTTCGGCCTCTCGGTGGCTTTTGGGGGGCAAGGGCTCGATATGGCGATTTGTGTTTCCCCTCTGCGGCCTCTGGGCCCTCTCTGGTCATCGTCGCTGCGTCCCCGCCGTCGGCGCTGCTGGCCGCCGCCAGCGCCGGCGCTGGCGCCGGCACGGGGGAGGGGGGGGTTGGAACCGCCCCACCCCCCCCTCCCCCTGGCTGGGCCTTCTCTGGTCATCGTCGCTGCGTCCCGCCGTCGGCACTGCTGGCGGGCCGCAGCGCCGGCGCTGTCTCCGTCGCTTGGGGGGGGGGGGGGGGGGGGGGTTTGGACCCCCCCCCTCACCCCTGGGAGGGGGTGTGTGTTCGGGAGGGGGGGGGGGGTTAGGGGGGAGGTGGGTCCTCCTGGTTTTGATCGACGGCGCCGAGTGTTTGGGGGGGGGGCCTACCCCCACTTCTAAACGCGCCGCCGAATGTTCCCAAGGCAGCGCGCTCTCTCATTGATTTTGGCTTCTTCGAGCCCTATTGGAGGTCCGCTTGTTGCCCTGTTTGGGTCCTCTAGGAGGCATGCTGGGCCGCCTTGAAGCCATGCCGGACCGCTTTGGGGCCATCTTGGGCCGTGGAGGCATCTTGGGCCATCTTGGTGTCCTTGGCTGCTTGTCTGGACCATCTAGGAAGCTCGGGACGCGGACACATAACGTCTTTTTTAGCTCGAAGGGTCGTGGTGTCAGGAATGCGGATCCATAGTGTTTGCGAGGGATCGTGTCCCTCGGGGGGGGGCGGGGGACGGTGCATGCAACGAAGCGCGAGTAGGGGGGTCTTTGTTAGAATGCACAGACCCCGACATACATAATTACCTTGGCGTTCTTCCATGCCTCAGCGCGCTCATGGCACGGTGGCGGATTCAAAGATCGGCGTCGCGCCCAGGTGGGAATCAACAGGGGCAGGCGTTTTCAGAAGGCGGCATGGTTTCTCAGAAACCTTGCCTGCCGTCTGAGAAGCCCTGTCTGTTTCGGAGAAGGCGTAGAACGCTTCTCGGAGGGCTGGAGGACCTCTGAGCCTTCTGAGGAGGCCTGTCCCTTCTACCTTCCCCGCTGTGCGCGCCGTCGAAAAGACGAATGTGTGGTACTATCCGCAAATCAGTCCAGCAGTTGTGCGGTATGTCCCACCCTCGTACACTCAGTCGCTAGATTACGATGTCGACGTGTACAACGGCTCGCTGAACGGGGAGAATTTGACGTGCGCTCTTCAGAATCCATCCAGGCGGCCCAAATACATCATGAAAGCTGTGAGGCAGTTTTTCAACAGTACGTTGCAAGAGGTTCAAGTGGACCCGACGCACGCGACCCGCTCCACGATGAGGGATGTTCTTATGGGTTGCCCGATTGGTCTCAACTTGCACGGGCTCGGGTCTATAGGACAAATGGAGTCGTTCCGCATGGCATTGTTTCTTTCAAACAAGATGTGTGTGCTGTCCGAGAGTGTTGAGACATCGGAGATGTCAATCTGGGGTAGCGTCGTTCGGATGCCGGCACAATGGAAGCCAGATCGGCGTTCGAGGCTTGCTGGATTGGATCGCGTGTTCTCGACTTTCCAAGAGCTCAAGGAGAATCCTTCAAAGTTAGCCGATTGCAGGCAGACGTCGTACAAGCTGTACAAACACATTTTTTCTCGCGAGCAGGTGTTTTCAAATGCAGGTATCCAGCTGCCTGCGGTAAGTCCCGCTACCTTGCCAGCTCAGCATTTGGGGTTGCGACTCTTCGAGGGGGCGCGGGAGGCCGTGACGTGTGACACTTTGTGTCTCCAGGCTCGGGGTATCCGAGATGATGATGATGATGCTGATGATGATGATGATGATGATGATGATGATGATGAAGACGACGATGATGCTACTGCTGATGATGATGATGATGATGATGATGATGATGATGATGATGATGATGACGTCGACAATGATCATGATGATGTTGATTATAATGATGATGCTGCTGATGATGCTGCTGGTTAGGATAACGACGATGATGCTGATGATGCTGCAACTGCTGCTGATGATGGGATGCTTCTGCTGCTGCTGATGCTGCTTCTGATGATGATGACGATGATGCTGACGTTGGTAATGATGATGTGGTTGATGATGATGGGGATGCTGATGATATAGATAATGATGCTGATGCTGATGGTGATGCTGATTATGACTATACGGATGCTGCTAAGTATGATGCTTATCATGATCCTGATTGTGATAATGGTGGCGACGATGATGAGACGGATGATGCTGATGGTGAGGATGATGATGATGATGTTGCTGCTGATGATTCTGAGTATGGTGATGATACTGATGATGCTGATGATGCTGATGCTGATTCTGCTGATGATGATGATGATGATGATGATGCTGATGCTGCTGCTCTTGATGATGCTGATGGTGGGAATCTGATGTAGCTGCTGCTGCCGAGGATGCTGCTCCTGCTGCTCATGATGATGATGATGATGCTGATGCTGCTGCTGATGATGATGCTGACGATGCTGCTGATGATGATTCTGATGCCGATGTTGATGCTGATGATGCTGCTGCTTCTGATGATGATGCTGATGATGCTGCTGAAGATGATGATGCTGATGATGATAATCATGATGCTGATGACGATGATAACGATGATGTTGATGCTGCTGCTGATGATGATGCTGCCGCTGCTGCTGCTGCTGATGATGATGATGCTGACGATGATGATGCTGATGATTATGCTGACGATGAAACGGATGCCGATGTTGATGCTGATGATGCTGCTGCTGCTGATGATGATGCTGATGCTGAAGATGCTGCTGATGATGATGCTGATGACGACGACGACGATGATGCTGATGATGCTGATTATGATGATGCTGCTGCTGGTGATGATGTATATGATGATGCTGCTGCTGATGGTGACGATGATGATGACGATGCTGATGATGATGATGATGGTGATGATGCTGGTTATACTGATGACGATGACGATGATGATGGTGATGATGACGATTATGCTGCTGATGTTGATGCTGATGACGATGACTATGACGATGGTGATGATGATGACGATGATGATGTTGATGATGACGATGATGATGATGCTGCTGCTGATGATGATGATCATGATGATGCTGATGATGCTGCTGCTGCTGATGATGATGATGATGATGATGCTGATGATGATGATGACGACAACGACGACGACGACGACGACGATGATGATGATGATGATGATGATGATGAGGATGAGGATGATGATGATGATGATGATGATGATGATGATGATGATGATGATGATGATGATGATGATGATGTGATGATGGTGGTGGTGGTGATGATGATGATGATGACGATGATGATGGCGAGGATGAGGAGGACGAGGAGGACAACGAGGAGGAGGCGGCGGCGGCGGCGGCGGCGGAGGAGGAGGAGGAGGAGGAGGAGGAGGAGGAGGAAAAGGAGGAGGAGGAGGAGGAGGAGGAGGAGGAGGAGGAGGAGGAAGAGAGGAGGGGGGAGGATGAGGGAGGAGGAGTGAGGAGGAGGGAGGAGGAGGGAGGAGGAGGGACGAGGAGGGAAGAGAGAGGAGGAGGGGAGGAGGAGGAGGAGGAGGAGGAGGGAGGAGGAGGAGGAGGAGGAGGAGGAGGAGAGGTGAGAAGGAGGTAGGAGGAGGAGGAGGAGGAGAGAGGAGGAGGAGGAGGAGGAGGAGGAAGGAGGAGGAGGAGGAGGAGGAGGAGGAGGAGGAGGAGGAGGAGGAGGAGGAGGAGGAGGAGGAGGAGGAGGAGGGGAGAGAGAGGAGGGGAGGAGGAGGAGGAGGAGGAGGAGGAGAGGAGGGGAGGAGGGAGAGGAGGAGGAGGAGGAGGAGGGAGGAGGAGGAGGAGGAGGAGGGAGGAGGAGGAGAGGAGGAGGAGGAGGAGGAGGGGAGGAAGAGGAGGAGGGGAGGAAGGAGGAGGAGGAGGAGGAGGAGGAGGAGGAGGAGGCGGATGCGGAGGAGGAGGAGGAACATAATTCAAATATTAATAATAGTAATAAGATTATTCAGAAAAAGACTACTCATATTACGAATCGTATTAATAAGACTAAGACGAACACTAATAATCATAAGCATAAGAAGGCGCACAATACAGCCAACACGGATGATAATAATGATACTAATATTATGATATTGAGACGAATCATAAGGATACCAAGAGGAATAATAAGACGAATGATAACATCAACAACAACAATAATAATATTAACAATAATAATAATATAATAATAATACTAATAATAATAATAATTATTGTAACCATAATACTGATATCGATAATACAAAATGTAATAGTAATAAGAATACTACTACTATTAATCGTACTACTAATAGTAATAATAATACTACTAATAATCGTAATAATAGTACGGATACTAACAATCACAGTAACAGTAATAATACTAATACTGCTCCTAGTATTAATAACAATAAGGAGGCGGAGGAGGAGGAGAAGACGAAGAGGAGGAGGAGGACGAGGAGGAGGAGGAAGACGAGGAGGAGAAGGAGGAGAAGGAGGACGGGAGGAGGAGGAGCAGGAGCAGGAGGAGGAGGAAGAGGAGGAGGAGGAGGAAGAGGAGGAGGAGGAGGAGCAGGAGGAAGAGGAGGAGGAAGAGGAGGAGGAGGAGGAGGAGAAGGAGGAGGATGAGGAGGAGGAGGAGGACGAGGAAGGCCGTCACATATGACACCTTTCGTCTTCAATCTTTGAGGAGCTCTCATGGAACTGATGTGGGCCGTTTAGTGGCTGATTTGGCCTCCTGTGAGGCAGTCTCGGAGGTCCGTTGGGGCTCTTTCGGGTCGCCTTGGGGCTCTCATAGGTCGCATTCTGGGTGTCTGGGGGCCGTCGCTGGGCCGTGTGAGGGCCGTCTCGGACAGTCGAACGGCCTTCTAAGTCTGTCTTGGGGTTTTCTTACGGCGTCTTGGGGCCATCTTCGGCAGTCTCGGGGCCATCTTGGATGCCTCTTGGGCCTGGTGTATCCTCTTGGGACATCTTTGGACCCTCGTGGGGGCCGCTTGGGCCGTCTTGGGGCCATCGTGAACGCTTCTTGGGTTGTCTTGAGCTGACGGAAGGCAGAGAAGGCGAGAATGCGAACATCAATCAACAACCAGAGGGGCATCAATGATTCTGGCTTCTTCGGGCCCTTTTGGAGGTCCTCTTGTGGCTCTTCTGGGTCCTCTCGGAGGCATGTTGGACCGCCTTGAGGCAATATTCTAGACGCCACGCGTATCCCCACCAGACCCGTAGCGCTTCTGACTCCGCTAGCGCCTTCGCTGGTGGACGCGACCGAAAAAAAAGCATCCCCACCAGCCCATCCACAAACGATGCGTGGTGGAGCTGACGGAATAAGGGAAGAAGAGACGCACATAGTGAAACCGAACGGGAAACAACGGTGAATCGGGAGATCTTTTGTCGCGAAGGTTGCATGTGTTGCTGCTGGTGCTCTTGCTCCTGCTGGTACTGCTTCTGCTGCTGTTGCTGCTGGTGTTGCTGGTTCTCGGCCAGCGAATGCCCGGGCGAATGGAGGTGATCAGGGAAGTGAGGGAGCACACAGAGTAACCAAGGGCTGGAAAGCCAGTCTTATCCAAGACGGCGAGGATGGAAGAGGAATCGGAGGAGGATGAGGAGGAGGAGAAACTGAAGGAGGAGGAGGGGGAGCGGGGGGATGGAGGAGGGAGGAGGAGGATGAATAGGCAGATGAGGAGGAGGAGAGGAGGAGGAGGAGGAGGAGGAGGAGGAGGAGCAGGAGGAGGCAGGAGGAGAATGAGGAGGAGGAGGAGGAGGAGGAAGAGGAGGAGGAGGAGGAGGAGGAGGAGGAGGAGGAGAGAGGAGGAGGCCATAGACCTACTGGATGCCTCTCGGAGTCTCTTCGGATGTCTTTTGGGAGCGTCCTGAAGGCTTCTTAAAGCGTCTTGGGAGCCTCTTGGCGGTCCCGGAGGCGTCTTGGAGCGTCTTGGGTGCCTCGGGGGGCCTCTTGGGGCACCTTGGGTGTCTCTTGGGGGCCTCCTGGGCGCCTCTTGGGGCCCTCATGAGGCGCTCTTGAGAGCCTTGGGGGCGCTCTTGGGGCCATCTTGGAGGAGATCGATCAAAAAAGGGAGGGGGGTTTAATTATCACCGCCCCTCGGGAGCCTCTAAAATCGCCTCTTGGACCACTCTAGGAGCGCTCTTGGAGCGCTCTTGGACGCTCTTGGGGGCCGTCTTGGGGCTCTCTTGGGCCCCTATTGGAGCTTTCTTGAGCCATTTTGGAGCCATCTTGAGGCCTCTGATGGCCATCGGAAGCGAAACGGCGAGAAAGCAAGCATCATTGGGTTTCCTTCGGTTTCCAAAAGGATTTTTGCCTCTTGGAGGCCTCCTTGGAAAGCTATTTGGCATCTTGGAGCCGTCTTGGGACGGTCTTGGAGCCTCTTGGAGCATCTTCGGAGCCATCTTGAGGTATCTTAGGCTATCTTGATCAATCTTGGAGGTCATCTTGGGCTTTCCGAAGCGCTCTTGGAGCCATCTTGGGCGAAAAAGTATCCTCTGACCGCTCGCGAAACGCCCCGTCCAGGTCCAGGGGAGGGGGTTAGGGGGAGGGGTAAACCCCTCCCCGAAGGGTAAGAAGGAGGGGTGGAAGAGGAAACTCTCTAAACCACCTACGCCCAGAGGGCTGGTGGGACTCGGCCACCTTGGGGGCCATCTTGGCTCGTCTTCGAGGCATCTTGGGCCATCTTGGTGTCCATGGTTGCATGCATGGGCCGTCATGGGAGCTTGGGACGCGGATCCATCGTTTTCAACGAGGGATCGGGGCCCTGGGAGCCCGGGGCGATTTTTTTGTTACAAGGGATCGTGGCCTCTGGAGGGGGGGGTCACGCGGCTCTCTGGGGCGAAGGGAAGGGGTCCTTCTCAGAAGGTAGAAGTCCTCAAGAGCAGCACCTGCCATTCTGACACGCCCACATGGTGCAGGCACGGTGGTGGATAAACGCCACGATGCTGAGGAGCCCTGGCAGCTTCATTAGGGGCGAAGTTCTGGGTTTGGTGGGGGGACTTGGGTTCGCACCCAATTTGGGCCTGGTGACTCAATTGCTTGCTCTGTTGGGCGCCGTCGTGTACGCTCATGAGCACGCTATCAAATACATATCGGAGGATACGTTGACGTTTCGTGCCAGCGGGAAGGCAATTGATGGCAGCTCTGCGAGATTTGGCGACCTGTTCAACATCACGCATTGGAACGCGAGAGCGATGGGAAACCAGTCCTTGCCACTGCCGTTCGTCGTGCAAGCAAAGGCCACAGAGTGGATCTTTGCTAGCAATGTTTCTAAGCAGGGCTATGCTAAATCTGATGGACCAGATGGGGAGGCCGTGAGGGGAGATCGGTCGGTCTGTTGGTATTGGGAGTCTTTGCGACCTACGGACGCGCTGTTAAAGGCGGTGGACGCGGTGCGCCCAGCAGCGGCGTATGGAGTTCTCCATGCGCGGATCGAGGACGATTTGAGGGCGCCTGGAATTCCATCAGATTTCTGGAGTGCCAGGACGCCTCTGCCTGACATGTTCAGCAAGATAGCCAACTCCTCTCATCCTTGCCTTTCACGTCCGAGCTCTTTCTACATGTGCGTTGCGGCCTCGGATGTCACAGAGCCCGAGGACGCGTCGATACTGGACCGGCGGGTGACACCTTGGCCAAACATGTCGCTGGAGTTGGGAGGCTCCGACGCAGTCCGTAAAGCAGGCTTGGAAGGGTCAAGGATTCAGGGAGCACTTCTCGATTTCGAGATTGCGCGGGGAGCGAAGTTTTTCCTTGGAGACGAAGGCTTGTCCACGTTCACAAGGGCGATAATGACATCCCGGACTTGCGCTGGTATTCCGTGCAACATCAATTCCAGAGACATGCGAGAGGCAACATTTCGCTGACCTGATCAGAAGGATTCGCTACACTTTGGTTGCCTTCGGTGGCAAACCATGAGAGGCTGCTATGTCCTCTTAATTATGTCTTTAGCGCCGATTAGTTTCGATTAGCGTCGTTTAGCGTCTGGAGTCGATGAGATAGCGACGATTTAGCGTCGGCCAGCGTCGATTAGCGTCGATTTAGCGTCGATCAGCGTCGATTTAGCGTCGATTAGTGTCGAATCGCAGGAGCCGACAAGATGGCATGGGAGGCTCCCATAAGTTGCCACCGAAGTTTGGTTGCCACTCTGCAGCTGGGTGCTCTGGGTGCATATCAGTCCCAGTGTCCACGTGGGCTGCGTTGTGCTTACTCTGCCGTGTGCGACGGGTGCGGAGGACTTCTAGGACTGGCTGCTGCTGAGCCTCGTGGACCTGGGCGCTGCGCGCGATGGACGACAACCAAAACAGTTTTTTGTTGTCGGCGGCGAGGCAGAGACAGTCCGCAGCAGCGTGGGGCTAATCGGGGCAACCGATGGGCAAATTGTCCGGCAACAATCAAAACAGGCTTCGAATGGTCTTGATGTGGCCTGGCAGGGCCCCACCAGGGGCCCAGCAGAGCTCCAAGAAGGCTCCAAAGACCCCGATATCCAATGGGGCCCCAAGGTGACGAACGAACAACACGCACCCATACCCATATGGGGGTCGGAGGGATGAGGACTGGCGATGTGTATGGGTGCGGGTTGTCGGACCCCGAGGGACGCTCCCGTTCTAACGGGGACACCCATCCGACAACATGCACCCATAGCCTCCTCCGCCCCCCCTATGGGTATGGGTGTGTGTGTGTGTGTGTGTGTTGTTCGTTCGTCACAGGGGTGCCCACAGACGACCAAACTTCAAATCTGAGACCTTGCCTAACGGAAGAGGTTCCCAGACATGCCCCATAGCGGCACAGGGAGGCGCCCAGCAGGCTCCCAGAAGCTTCAAGAAGACCTCAGCAGGGTCCCAATAGTACCCCAAACGAGTTCCATCAAGGTTCCAAGAGGACCCCCTGCCTCAACTCTGAGCCTCCGCCCGAAAGCGATTTTCATCCATGGCTCATTCTTCTCTCCGCAGCTGGCCGGGGCTGGCCACAACCCCAGTCTGCCAGCCGCCTCGATTCTACAGGTCAGGGGGAAGTGTTGTGCGGCGTCGTGCAGGGAGAGGGGTCAGCTTCTCCCAAACTGGGAAGGAGCTGTTTTGCTGTTGGACGAGCCGATCCGCTAAACCACCTGCGCCCAGAGATCTGATGCTGTTCCTCGGGGAGCTCCCGTGGGCATCTGGGGCCCTCTCAGGACATCCAGTGGGCATCTGGATGCCTCAGAGGCCCGTCGGAATCTGTGGGGGGGGGGGAAAGCTGATTCTTGAAACAGGGGTCGACCCAAACGGAGTTCTGGCGATTTCGTGGGCCGTTTTCATTTCGATTCCGTTTTTCAGCAAAGGCGGACCGAAGACAAGATGAGGGACAACGAAGACAAAACGCAAACCGAAAACACCGTTTCGGTCGATCCCTGCCTTGACATCTACGAAGCAGCATACACATAAGTTCTCGGATGTCCGTGTGAGCTTCATGGATCGGCGCAGGAAGCCTGTGGCCGCGCCTCCGAGCGCCGCTGTTGCACCTTGCTCCTCCTCCCTCCTCCTCCTCCTCCTCCTCCTCCTCGTTCCTCCTCCCTCCTCCTCCTTCTCCGCCTCCTCCTCCTTCTCCTCCTCCTTCTCCTCCTCCTCCTCCTCCTGAAGCACTGAAGCACTGAAGCACTGAATGCGAGAAAATTCGTCGAACGTTGCACTCCCTCCTCCTCCTCCTCCTCCTCCTCCTCCTCCTCCTCCTCCTGGTTCCGAGTTCCTCCTCTCTCCTCTCTCCTCCTCCTCCTCCTCCTCCTCCTCCTCCTCCTCCTCCTCCTCCTCCTCCTCCTCCTCCTCCTCCTCCTTCTTCTTCTCCTCCTCCTCGCCCTCCTCCTGAAGCACGTAAGCATTGAAGGCAAGAAAGTTAGTCGAATTAGCCCTCCCCCTCCTCCCTCCTCCTCCTCCCCTCCTCTTCCTCCTCCTCCTCCACCTCGTCCTCGTCCTCCTCGTCCTCCTCCTCCTCCTCCTTCTCTTCCTCCTCCTCCTCCTCCTCCTCCTCCTCCTCTCTTTGTCAGCGGCTTCGAGGTCGTCGTCGTGCCGTCCGACAGCGTTGCGACCTCGGGTTCCTCCCAGTCGGCCTCGTCACCGAGGGCGACGAACCGAGACACCCGCACCGATTTTTGCGAGGTGAGGTCAATGCTTATCTTTTTTGTCCCTGTAGCCGGAGCGCTCCCTCGCGGCGCGCGGGCCGCGCGGGTTGGCGCCGCTCCTCCCCTGCCGCTGCGGCTGCTTCCGCTTTCCCTGCGCCCCTCTCCCTCTTGCACGGTCGGATCCCCAGAGGTTGGCGCCAACACCAATATCGGCGGTGTGCCTCCACCGAGGGAGGATGCTCCCAGTCTCGGTGATGGTTGTAATCTTCGGACTTCCTGGGCGGCCGAAGGATCACCAACACCAAGATCTGGGCCCACGTCCAAGCCTCCAGCATGGGGCCGTCGGTTGGCGCTGCAAAGAGCGCGTGCGAAGTGGCGCCGCCGGCCCGCTGAGGCCCTCGCCGGGGGGATAGCGTGCGCAGCAGGGGTCTTCGCGGAGGGATTGCCGCACCGGGATGGCGCGCTCTTCGGAGATCGACGTGGCGCGCTGTCTTGGCAGCGCCGGCCGTAGCTCGCGTCCGCATGGCCCGCTCATGCCCGTCCGATCCCCAGGCGACTGGCCGAGCGGCCGCGGGGAAACTGCGGGCACGCGGGGGCGCCTGTGGCACGCGGGGCTGAGCTGCCCACCTGCGCCCCCGTCGGAGACGATGCCCGCGGCACTGCAGAGGTGTCGAACAGAACTACAGTGGAAACCCATGCCAAGAAGCACAGCGCTTGCCTGCAGGGTGCCCTGGGTTTCTTGGCTTTTGATGGTTTCCCTAATTATGGAAAGCGTGACGTTCCCGCACCTCAGGGTTGGGTTTCTTGTGGAAGGTTTCTTGTGATCGAGCTCCTATTGTATCCTGGCGACGGACCCAACCACGTGCATTTGCGAGTGTCGCAGTCGTGAACACCGTCCTTACTTCCTCTGGGGGCGCGAGACGTGCGAGAGGTGTGCCGTAACAGGCGGGTGGGGGGGCCGCATGCGAACCCTGCCGAAGGGGCCATCCGCTCAACTCCTTGTGGGGGCACGAAGCGTATCGGGGGTGTGCAGGGATAGGGGGCGGAAGCGCGAGCCCTGCCACTGGGGCCTCGCCTGGCCAAGAATCGGGGGTTGCCAGAAATCCCCCTGGCCCAAGGTGCCCCCCGGGGTTTGCAAGGAGGCCCCACACGGTCTCCAGAGCACCCCTCACGACGAGGTCCAGAGGGCCCCAAGGTCTCCACAATTCAGCGAAAAGCTGGGGCGGCACCTTGGACCAGGGGCACCCTTAGCAACCCCCGAAGGAGGTACCAGAGCTCCGACGTCGTGATCTCTAACGATGGGGCCCCCGAAGGTCCCGACCCTCCTCCTCCTCCTCCTCCTCCTCTCCTCCTCCTCCTCCTCCTCCTCCTCCTCCCACTCCCACTCCTCCTCCTCCTCCTCCTCCTCCTCCTCCTCCTCCGCCCTCCCTTCGCCGGGAGTCGTTCCTCGACGGCCCCGAGGCCTGGCGAGGGCCACATGACGCGGAACATCTCTTGCAGAAAACCTTCCCGTCGTCGTTTTGTCACGATGCGGGGAGGCCCCGCGTGACGCTCCATGGTTGTACGATCTAGTCTCACGTCGGGCATGCCCCTCTACAGGAGGAGTATTCAGTCATAGTTTTTGAACTAGTCAGGTGACGGTTTTTCTCGTTCTCTTTTGACATTTTCCAGAATCCGCGTGTAAGAGGACATGCCCTACCTAAATCTAGTCCACGCGTCCACCACGTTAGATATGGGCCGACATTCGCGAGGCGATGCTCCGACGTCAGTCCGACCTGAATCCGACGTGAAGCCTCCGTAGTTCCGACGTGCTTCGTCGTCAGCCCGAGGCGAGTCCGACGTGGATCTGACGTACATCGAGTCTTCAGCTGCCGGTGCGAGGCCTCCAGCATTTTTCCTCGTAGGGAGATGGAGGGCCGGCGGGGTGCCTGGGTCGGCGACTGCAACGGGTGTGGTTATGCCGGGGTGTGGTTTGCGATCCGCGCCGTTGGGGCTCAGGGGGTCGTCAAAGGTTTGACGAGCCATCGTCGGGTCGCGGCAGAGATCCCTGGTAGCTGTTGTTCACTTGTTGTTTCACCGATGGGCGCAGGCCCCCGCACCCCCCCGTCCCCCTCCCCATAGACCAGATCATGGCTGCTCTCGCCAGCTGCTTTTGGCGTCTGGCCAGGACCGCCACCCCCAGTCTGCTTGCGCGAGTGGTAGAAGCAGATCGACTAAGCACCGTCCCAGACCCAGATCCCCCCCTCCCCCACCCTTCGGCCAAACGTCGAAACCCAGAATAAACATCCGGGCGAAAGACCCAACCAGATGCAGTTGTGAGTGCCGCGTTGTGGGCACCGACCGAGGCGATGTGGCAGGAGGGAGGAGGATAGGAGGCGGGAGGAGGAGGTAGGGAGTGGACGCGGGGCGCTGTCTCTTCAAAACGAGGAGCCAGCACCACAGGATGGTCTACGCCAACCTGTCGAGGTCCTCACCAGCCCCCCCAACCAGAACGAGACACCTGCGGAAGCCCCTGGAAGCGGCCGTCGTCGTTTTCACGGTTGTCGCCGTCGCCGTCGCCGTTGCCGTCGTCGTCGCCGTCGTCGTCGCCGCCGTCGTCGTCGTCGTCGTCGTCGTCGTCGTCGTCGTCGTCGTCGTTGTCGTCGTCGTCGTCCTTGTTGCCAGCCACGCCTTGTGCGAGCCACGCCCCTCGGCGATCGCCGAGGGGGGCGGGGTGGCGCGGAGCCCCCCGGGCGGCCCAGCAAGAGCGGCTCTGCCAGGCCGCGTCGCCGACCCTCGGCGAGAGCGTCGACGGGGGCCTCCTCGGTGGCCCGGAGCGGCGACGGCGGCGACGATGCGGGCGTTGCTCGGGTGCGGCCAGGAGGGGGGTGATGACTTTCGGCGGCGAGCGAGGGGGGGACGTTTCGGGTCCGAGGTTCGAGGCTTTCGGACGTTTTCGTCGGTTCTCGGCGGTTTTCCAGCCTCGGGATGCGTGCTAGCAACTGCGCCTCGCCGAGGGCTTTCTGGGAGTGCCTGGATCGTCCCGAACGCCCGCCAGAGACCCGAGTTCTAACCTAAAAACCAATTGCGGCGGCAAAAACCAATTGCGGCGGCGAGCGAGGGGGGGAAGTGAGAGGGAGAAGGACTTCTTAGAAGCAAGCCGGCGGCAGAAGACCTCGTGCCTTCTGAGACGTTTCCCGTGTCTTCGGGAAAAGCTTAGAAAACTTCTCAGAAGGCCATGTGACTTCCAAGCCTTCTGAGAAGGTCCGCCCCTTCTCACTTCCCCCCTGGGCTCGCCGCCGAGACTAGGGTGGGGTGGATATCATGGCGGGGTAATGATATCTTTCCAGATTTCATGGTGCCTCTTCTATTTTTGAAGGCGTCCCCGGCCCCCCCCCCCACCCTGGGCCGCGCACATGCCGCTGGCCATGATTTGCGCTCCCCCTCCCCCTTGGACGCCCCCCTCTCGGACGCCCCCGAGTTGCGCATTGGAAGGCGGCTCGTGGGGGAGGAGTCAAGAAAGGATGAGGAGGAGGGGGGGGGGAGGAGGGGGAGGAGGGGGAGGAGGAGGAGGAGGAGGAGGAGGAGGAGGAGGAGGAGGAGGAGGAGGAGGAGGAGGAGGAGGAGGCCATCTCCGCGAGGCCATTTCTGCCAGCAGGGCCCGGAGGCCCGTCCACGCCCCTCCGCGCGCGCCGCCGCCGCCACTCAGGGCCTCCGGGCCGACGCAGCAGGGGCGCGGGCCTTGGCGCGGACGCCTCGGCCCTCACCCGCCTCCTCCCTCCCGCGCGGCCCCCGCAGCACCGGCGGCCTTCGCTCTCGCGCCGAGCACCCAAGCACGCGAGGCGAGCCTCACCTGGCGGACCCGCGGCGCGAGCGCGGCGATGTCCTCCACGTCGCTGAGGGCCCATCGTGCCACGTCGCTGGGCGAGCACGCTCCGCGTAGGGGGGCCACCGCAGGGCATGCTGACAGCAAGTGCCCGAGGCACTCCACGAGCGTGCACCCCTCCGGTGCAGGAGCAGCGCACAGAGGGCACGCACTGGGGACCACGGCGCCCCCCTCGGCCAGCCACACTTCAACCGGAAGGCGGCCCGACGCCCGCGCGAGTGCCCAGGCCTGGTAAAAACGCCACATAGTACGCCCCCATGGCGCCCACCGCACACCAGCGGATAGCGGCCCACGGACTGGGATTAATTCCTGGTGCGGTAAGAGACCGCCAGTTCCCACAGCGCCCAGCTGCAGGACGAACCACGCCTGCTCGTAAGCCTGGACCGCCGGCAACACCACCGAGCGCTTCCAGTGCTCGACGGCCTGTTTGCGCGCCTCGGGGGTCCGCGCGGGCCACCTCGGAAAGCGCGCCCGCAGGGAAGTCAGAGGTAATGCCCAATGCCCTGGTCACCTCGGCGGCGTGGTCCAACCAAGAAGCACCCGCCGTCGCACGCGGGCCCGCCACCACCTGCGCCACGGGACTGCCCGGCCGGCAACGCAAGCAGCCGCGCCCGACTGAGGGCGATCCGCTGCATGAGGGTAGTTCCCCACCGCGTCAGCATGCGCGTCTCCGCCAGCGCGCGAACGTGCCCGCCTGTGCCCAGCGACACCCCTCGCCCCCCACCAAACAGCATCTTGGCGACCTCGTACTGCGTGTTGTTCACGCGAGTCACCGCGGCCTGCCACCCCAGTGCGAAGCTTGCCAGCAACTCCGCGCCGTAAAGCGCCTTGGACACGACCCGCGCTGGGAGCTGCGCCACCTGGTACGGTAGTCTGCGCGAGGGCGGCCGCAAGCTTGCGCGAGACTTCGCGCAGCCGCGAGCACGCGCGCCCGAGCAAGGCGTGAAAGCAGAGATCCTGCTCCACGGGGACGCCCAACATGTCGAGAACTGGAGTGACCTCCGGCGGCACACCGCACACCGTGCCAAGGTTGTCCGACTCCGGGCCCCCCCACGGCGAGCACCATGGGGCGCTTGCGGTGGCGCCAGGTCAAGCAAAACCCCGTCAGGGCACGGTTGACAGCTCCTGCCCAGCGGACGACGATTGGAATACGAACAAGTCGTCCACGAATTGGAAGATCAGGAGCGCATGCGCGGCCACGACATCGAGTAAGGCACACCTGTCCGCGAAAGTACCGAGCGCCTGGAGCTGCTGGTTCCAGTGGGGCACCCCAGGCCGCATCGATACCAGCAACTCCTCGGCGCGAACTGCCCCCCAAGCTATTTCCGTGCCCGGCGCGGGAGGGGCGGCCTGATTGCACTCGCGGAGCGCGCGAGTCGCCGCCGCCGGCGGGGCGATACCGACGCCAACGGCCACGGCGGAGCAAACGTCCAACAATGCTCGTACCAGCGCGCTGAACATGTGCACTCCCGCCCGGCGGCCCTGCCCGACGCCGAACTCAGTAATTAAGGACAGCCGCAGCCCCCACAATCCCGCTGACACGCACCCGAATCGTTTCGGATCCCAGGGCCGCGTCAGCAACCAGCCAAAGGTGCCCCCCCAACCCAGCGCGTCGCAAGTGCACTCGTACTGCATCCCGCCAAGCAAGATCGTACCCATGTTCCAGGTCAGCCTTCTCCACGAGGGTGGACAGCCCGTGCGCCCTACGGATCTGCAGCGCCATGACCATGCCGATCACCATTAGGACGGAGTCGTACTTCCCTCCCGCCTGGGGTGCGCCCGCATACGCCTCCAGCTGGCCTCGGGCAGCCCGAAGCCACACGGCGTCGACCGTCCCGCATAGCTCGTCCACGTAGTTGACGGGGCGGAGGTGGGCGACGTCGGACACTACCACGGGGCCGCGTTTCCGGATGGGCGCGACCTCTCGCCACCATCCACTTGGCATGAGGCCCGAAACCGTCACCAAACACACCAATGCCCATGTGACGAGCCTCCTACCCCAGAGCTCGGTGAGGACGGCCGCACGCGGGAGGTGCAGGAAGCGCCGGTTCCCCTTCATCTCCCTGAGGACCGCGTCGACGTCATCCAAGGAGAACGGGTCATGCATGCCCAAACCTGCTGCTTCCGCTTGAGTTTCCCTGCGTGCCTGACGGACCTCATGACCTCATCGGCCACGGCGCGATTGAAGGCTGTGTCGCCGGCCCCAGCCTGTGACCCGCGTGACAATACATCTTCGGCGTCGGCCACCCCCAATACGTCGCCAGACACCTGGCGACGCAGGGCCAACTGTACCGGCAGGCGGAGGTGGAGGAGGAGGAGGAGGAGTAGGAGGAGGAGGAGGAGTAGGAGGAGGAGGAGGAGAAGAGAAGGAGGGAGGATTGGATTGGATTGGATTGCCTGTCCTCCAGATGAGGGTGCGGTGGTTTCATGCGTGGCCACCTTTCCGTAGGGGGCGCCAGGTTCCCCGGGGGGCGGCCGTGCGCGACCCCACGGCGACCAGGCCAGGGTCCGCCTTGGCACCGTGGGGGGGAGGATGGAGTGGGATGTCATCCACTGCTCCGTCCAGCTCCGCCCCGTCCCCCAGTCGCCACAGGCCGGGCCAAATCCGGGCCGCAAGAACGGGAACTGGCCAATCGCAGCGGGCCAGGAGTGCCTTTTGCGCCTGGAGCTCTTGCATGACCGTTCAACCGAGGCCCTGCCACTGCATGGCGCAGATGCAGTCGCGCGGCGTCGGAAGGAAGGGGGGGAGAGCCATTCCCAGGGAGGGGGAGGGGGGCCCTCCAGCTACGCCACTGCGTGTCCAGCCTGGCTCTGCCCGGCCCTCAGACTCTGGAGGGAGGGAGAGGAGGAGGGGCGTAGGCACGGAGGACGTTCCGAGCAGAGGAAGGAATGCGCGCTTTTGGTCCGCCGCTGGGCCCCAGAACTTCGACACCGCAAGGTCGATGTCTCTGGCGAGGGTGGCTGCTTCCAGGAATCCCGCCTCCCCTGGGCGGACCGAGAGGATCTCGCTGGCCGCCGCTTCCCTCGATGTCGGAGGCGGGGAGCCGCGCGCTGTCCAGAAGGCCGTTCGCTCCGCGCCTGTGTTGTTGCAGCTTCCTAGAACATGCAGGGTTTGGCTGAGAACTTGCCCTTGACAGCACACGCAGACTTGCTCGCGGGCTCCCGGCCGAACACCAGACACGTGGCTCAGGACGAGGAGTTGGCATCGGAGCCGACTGCGGGAGCGCTGGCCGAAGAGGGCCGTGCTGGGCAGGCGCAGGGAGAGCGCTGTGGAGAGGTCGTTCCAGGGCAATGGGCCAAGCGAGAGCGGAGCGGGCACTCGGACCCACGTCTGCAGCCGTTGGAGGAGGAGGAGGAGGAGGAGGAGGAGGAGGAGGAGGAGGGAGGGGGGGGGAGGGAGGGAGGGAGGAGGATGGAGGCATGGAGGAGGAGGGAGGAGGGAGGAGGAGGAGGAGGAGGAGGAGGAGGAGGAGGAGGAGGAGGAGGAGGAGGAGGAGGAGGAGGAGGAGGGAGGGGGGGAGGGAGGGACGGGGGGGAGGGAGGGAGGGAGGGAAGGAGTGGGGGAGGGGGGGAGGGAGGGAGGGAGGGAGGCAGGAGGAGGAGGAGGAGGGATGAGGCAGGAGGAGGATCTCGCAGACCCAGCCGATGTCCCAACAAAAAGACGCACGCACCGGCCGGTCGTTGGGGCGTTTTTTTCTGTTCGGCCTCTTGGAGGCTGCCGCCCGCCCCCCCCGCGGGGCCCTCCGGGAGCGGCTCGGGATGAGAAGCTGGCTCGGGGGGAAGGGGTCGAGATCCCTGCCGGGATCGCCGCTGGTGGTCGTTTTTTCATTCATTGTTTTGCCGATCGGCGCGGGCCCTCGCCCCCCCCCCTCCCCCCCCATGGAGTAGATTTTGGCTGTTTTGGGCGCCTGTTTCGAGCATGTGGAGCCTCCCCCATCGG